GATCAGCTCTAGGTTATTTATTTTGTGAACAGGAGTCAGCTGGGACGATTCATATAATTTTTTTTTTTTTTTTGGTTCTAGAATTTGAAATTCTAAGCATAAATAATTTCAGTAAACATAGTAAAATACAGATGCAATTGATCTTATGCATGACATAAATTTGTGTGGGAGTCCAGATGTTGAATTGTGAACACAGGTTGTTTCTCCCTTATGTCCTATGTGAATGTAGGTCATCATAGCATTTTATTTTCAGTGGTTTTTCCTTACTTACTTCTAAAGATTCTTATTGGAGTTCAGCTTACTCCTTGAACTGATGTGTCTTCTAATAAATTCTTGTTAGGATTTAGAGGAAAATGAGGACACTTCTATCCATTTTTGTATTGTTCCATATCCATCTTTAATTTTTCAAAAAGTTGATAAGACTTAGTTGCATTTATCTCCAGGTGTTGCTTTTGAATTCAGTCACCTGCTTTGTTTGGTTTTGTTTTGATTTGGGGGAATATCCACATTGTGCAAGATTCTGAACTAGCCAGTATGGGAGCTACAGTGCCATTATTTAGGGCCTCAGAAAACAACATTCTCTGTGTTGGGTGACTGGCTCACTGGCTGTATTTATCTCCTTTACTGATTTCTTTTCATCTTTCTGACTCCTAAATTTGGGCTGCCTTGGATCCAGTTATCAGACCTTGTCTTTCTATAATAAACTTCTAAGAGAACTTTTGTAGTCTTAAGACTTTATATAACATCGATATGTCCAAGAATCCCAAATGTATCTCTCCAGCCCTGTCCTTTGTCCTGAACTTCAGACTCAAACCTAATTACCAGTTGGGTGTCTTTCAGGCATTTCAAAATTACCCAAAACCAGACACTTGATTTCTTCTGAAACTTAGTCCCTCTACAGTTTTTCCACTTTCAATAAATGGAAACTATTCTACCATTGCTCATGACAGAAACTTTGCAGTCATTTTTGATCTTTCTCTCTCAAACCACCTGTCAAATATATATCCACAGATTTTGTTGGCTGTTCTTCAAAATTATTTTAAGAAGACAACCACCTCTTACCCACTCTTCCTACCATCCTATTCTAAGCCACTATTATTCTTTCTAGGATTATTATAGTAGACTCCAACTTCTCTCCCTGTCCTATCCTGCGGTATGTTCCCTCCACCTAGCAGCCAAAAATAAGCTCTACTCTCTCCTGCCCAATGCTCTCTGGATTCCTATATCACTTAGAATAATAGCTGAAATCCTCACCATGGCCTAAATGGTACTACACAATCTGTTTTCCCATTCCTCACCTCCTTCAGCTAGCCCACTTGCTTATTCCTTTTCTACACACACGTCAACACACACTTTCACTTTAGGGCCTTTGCCATTTCCTTTGCCAGGAATCCTCTTTTTCATGATTTCTAAATGGTGTACACCCTTACTCCTCAAATGTAACCTGACAAGGGAGACATTCCCTGATCTCCTCCCCAACCCTAGTTTAAAAAAACAGTAAAACCCTAATCTTAGTCACTTTTTTTTTTATATTTTTACATCATTTTTCATTTTTGTACAATGTATGCATTTTCATCTTGATTATATTCCCCCATACAATTCCCCCCCACACTTATTTTGACCCTAATCCTTCTTTCCCTCCTTCCCCCCCCCCCATGTGTCTGGTTTATAGTTGCTTGTTGATTTTGATTTTTACTTTATTATAATTAGTCTTTCTCCTGGTCCCTTATTTAGGTCTTCTAAATTCCTGCTATGAGTGAGACCATCCAGTATTTTTCTTTTTCTTTCTGGCTTATTTCGCTAAGCATGATCCCTTCCAGTTCCATGTTGCTGCAAATTGCATGAGTTTATCTTTTTTGATTGCTGAGTAATAATATTCCATTGTGTGTATGTACCACATCTTCTTGATCCAGTCATCTATTTTTGGGCATTTGGGCTGTTTCCATAGCTTAGCTATTGTAAACAGTGCTGCTATAAACATAGGGGTGCAGGTGCCCTTTTGAATAAATGATTCTGTGTCCTTTGGGTAAATACCTAGGAGTGGAATTGCTGGATCATATGGAAGCTCCATCTTTCGCAGGTTGCGGAATCTCCACACAGCTTTCCATAGTGGTTGGACCAGTTTGCACTCCTTGGTCACTTTTTCCTCCTTAACCTTTATTCTTTTTCCATTGTACTTCCACTGCTTGACCTATTTGTTTGTCTATCTTCCCCTGTTAGAAATGAGAGCAGGGACTTTGTTCCTGCTGTTCTTTGCTTCATCCATAATGCCCAGCATAGTGCTGGCAATTAGAAGCATACATTAATTATTTGCTAAATCTATTCACTAAGTCATATACGTTTCATAATCTGTGGTAGAAGTTGGAGATACAACAATGAACAAAAAGAGCCTTGACCCTGCCTTTCAATAAAGTAGGCCAAGACAGAGAACCTATAGTGAGAGTGCTCAATATAGGGAGGTAATTAGAGTTTACAGTATAGTTCAATAAAACATACACTAGTGAAATTAATATCAATATTGAAGAGAAATGATGATTTATAACAATAATATGTGAAACTACACTAAGAGTACTTAATGCCAGTGGATGAATTCAACCCATAAACTATAGCATAGAGAATCTGATAGCTGGAATGTTAATGTATTCTCTCACTGAATTCCACATTCAACATTCACAATAACCTGAAATAAACTTATTTCAAACCATTCATGTTTATACTCTGTCTATTCTGGAAAGAATGCAGGGATTAAATTGAGATAGACAGAGGTTTGAATCCTGTGTCTGCCACTCATGAACTCTTATTACCTTGAGTTTCTTAATACTTTAATATCCCTGATTTTGTTTCTATTATATGTAAAATGTGGTTTATGATGCTTGCATCATAGGGAAGTTAAAATAATTCTTTAGACCCTTAGCAATAGTGAATTCCCCCAGTTTTATTTCCTTTTGCCCTTTTCCTGACTATCCCATTTATTTATTAAGTCCTAAATATTTGAGTATCTACTATGTGCTAAGTATTGTACTGGTTACTGTGTACACATTATTCATCTAGAACATACTGGTCCAAATGAAAAAGAAAATATGGATAGCAAGTGTTCACTTTCTAGCCTCAAAAAAATTGATGCCAATCTACCAGCTTTGCCATCCATAAGTGTATACATTGTGTGCGCAATTTTAGGACTGGGACTATTCCCAGAAGGTTTGTGCTAGTCTCAAAAAATATGGAACACTCAAGGATTCAGCTCTAAAAATATCTCATAAAAATGCTTCCTCCATGCACTCATTTGGAAGAGGTAATTACCGTGGCAACAACAAACTAATTTGAAGTGTTAGCTGTTAATTAAAACAATGCAGAGGTGTATAGTTGTCTTTTGGTGTAACCAGAGCCTCCATTCAAACTTCATTAATCACTTTACAGTTAATGTGTTGAGGAAGGTCAAGGCAATTGAGATGCAGTATCCATTGAAAGTAAACAAATTCCTTTTCTCCAGGTAGAATGCCATTTGCAAAGTTAAGGAACACTCGACTCATACCTGACATTGCCTTTGTCATCCACTTCTCCTTGATGATTAAATGTTAAATTGGTACTGACATTGCACTGTAAACCAAACCACACAGCATCTTTATTGCTTGAAATTGAACCCAAACTTCCACGGATGAATTAGTGTGTGTCATAATTAAAACATTAATCCTCCTCTTTTAATCCACTTGGAAATAGGAGACCTTTCTTTTGGAAAAGAGATCAACTTTCCTGACAAGCTAATTAAGTTGCCAGACTGTCCAGTGTGGTATATATTGTATATTAGGTGATCTGCTCATCATTTTCTTATTGCTACTGTTGTTCTCCAAAGTCCAGGTGTTGCTTGTTGTCCAAAGCAGTAATACTATTGTTTTTATAACTTTTGATTTCTTGTGGTATGTATTCAACTATATATATTTTAGTCCTTGGTTAGTGATTCTGCCATGTAATAGTTAAAAAGTTGAAGTTGAAAGACTGTGTGGTATGCAAAGGGGGAAATAATATAACTAAATCTTATAATTACTTGTATTTACATGAAATAGTTACTAAATACCTTCAAATCACATTTTGTACTAGCTTAATCCAACAACTTCTCTGCCATTAAGAAAGATGCAAAGTAACTCTTTATATATATGAGTTTATTACATAAATTCAGATAAATCTTGAATCAGGTCGTCACCTCAAATACAGTTTCTTACTGTAAAAGTCTGATGTTAACATAGATAGTAAAGTAAGTGGTAATTTGTTCTAAAACCAGTAAAATAAAGATGTTCCACTTATAAAATATGTATCATGTTATATAAAATACAAAAAATTTTAGTAATTTAAGTTTTATAAATTTAATATTTATATTTATTAGGTAGGTTGATATTTAGAGAAAGTTAATAGATACTTCTATAGAACCCTTTGGTAAAGTACACAATTGTCAATTATTATAATTTTCACTTTCCTTTAAATGAGATAGGCCTATGGTCTCTACAATAATTGATGAAAGACTGAGTTTATCTTCCATAATTGACTTGACCTTTGTCCACTCAAATAGAAAAACAGAACAAATTTCTTACAACATATTTATGGCTCTGTACAGTTCTCAGCACAGAGCTGTTAGTGACTCAGTGATTGTCACACTCAGTGACAGTCTATTGTGAGGGATCTGGATCCAGAACACCTGGGCTTGAGGTATGGCTCTGCCATGTATTAAATTTGTGCCATTGAGCAGATTGCTTAACTTCTCTGTGCTTCAGAGTTATCTAAAAGGAAGATAATAATTCTAGCATTCCCTCACAGCATTTTATTAAGGTTATGTATAGTGAATCATTGTGTAAACCATTAGAAATGTAAAGTACTAATGTTAGTAGTGTCCTTTGAAAGTCTCATATATCCCTTTGCTGCAGCTATGTTCAGGTTTACATTTATGTCCTTCACCGTTTTGTAGATTATTTAGTGAACCCAAATGATTTTTTTTTTTCTTCTTCCCATAGAGCATATCATGTCCCAAGTGGCAAGATATTAGCTGTAAAGGTAAGTGCTGAAAATTTCATGAAATTGATTAGTTCTTGAGGCTTACCACTTTCTTTCCCCCCATTAGCTTGGGCCACCGATATTGTCAAAGAGGAACTGAAATGATTTAAGGTTTGGATGGTAGGTGGTGGAAACTATGGCCCTGTTGTGAATTTAGACCCCTTAAGGTAGTTTATCTGTGGATTTGAATTGTCAGTTCTAAGCTCCTTGCATTATGATTCTGTTCACCATTGTTACTGTCTCTTCTTTCTGTGTTCCTTGCTAAGTGGTGTCACTATCTTCCTGTGTTGCAACTCAGAACCTCAATATTTATTCACTCTTTTTGTCCCTTTATCTGCCACCATGTAAGTCATATTCTGTCAGAAGTTTTCCCAGAAATGTGTCCATTTGTCTCATCCTCATTGCCTTGGCCTTGTATCAGGCTCACATACCTCCTACCTGAACTTTCAGAGTAACTTGCTCACTGTACCTTCAATCTTTTTCTTCTCTGAAGTACCTTTTACTCAGCCACTAGGGCTGAGAATCTGAGTCCCAGATCTGTCCATGGCACTGTCCCCTTGTCTCCACTTTCCCAAAAAGTGTACTGTATAAAGCCTACGATGTCTGCCTACTTCTGACCCTTAGTGCATCCTGATATACATCAGGAATGTGCCTACCAATAGTGTTAAGCTACACAACTCAGATGTTTTAGGCAATTACCTACCTAAGATAGTCCTCATGATTTCCATCCTTTTCGTAAGTCATATTGCATCTCTGCCATACTCCACGATCCTGCCTTGACACTTTGGATCTAATCTCTGCCACTGGCAATTGCTGCTTGATTTTCCCATTATTTTATCTTAGATTTTCCTAATGGACACTTTTGAATTGCCTTTCTCACTGAGCCATGCACTGCCTGCAGTCCAACCTCCACAGAACCCTGCTTCAGCATTGGGCCGTTAGCTCACAAACTGGCCCTTGAACCCGTGGCTTAACATTTCATCAGCATGTTCTAGTACAAACATCTTGATGTGCTTGGGAGACAGGTGTTTCCAGTTAAGCACATCAAATACATGGTCGGGGTGCCCACAGTGATATGAGGAGCTTCCATCTGCAGCTTTTGCACCTCAGTATGGACATTGGTTCCCCAGTACAAGCATGTCAAGAGGCACCCATGTAATCTCCTAGTGTCGTGACCACGTTGTGTATCTACTGAGCCAGCTAGTGGGTGCCAGCACAAAGGCCTGGGTGGCCTTTAGATCTAATTCAACCTGCTGCAGAATTGATAGGACAAAACTGGCCATTTTTCTCACTTCCAGGTTGGGCTTGAGCAATCATGTCATAATCCCATAATCATATCATAAGAATGGCTCATTCCTGAATGGCAGAGGGCTTCTCAAAACTATAGGTGCCGGTGCCACAGAGAAGGAACACTGAGTTATCAGAGTTGTCAACAATCTCATTCCAGTTATTCTCAGTGACACCATCAGGTTCCATCTTATCAGGGCCATTGTCTATGGATCGGGAGTCCTGACTCACAGTCGGGACCATATCATTTTCATATCTAAGAAAACTGTTGCTTAATCCAAGATCACTAAGAATCACTCAAATGTCTTCTTCTGAGAGCTTTTATTTTTAGTTCTCATACTTAGAAATGAAGTCTTCTAGCAGCTATTTCTGATAAGACGTATAAGCAAAAGTATGCATTTTAAAAAAGAACTATTAGAGAATTTCAATTGATATAGACAGTAGATTACAAATACACTATTCACAGTATCCAAGGTATACAAAGAATTTGTCCAATCTTAAACAAAAATTAATTAATTAATCAAAAAAAAATCCAGTTTAAAAATGGGCAGAAGAGGTCCTCCCCAGCGGCATAGTGGGTTGAGCACAGCGCTGTCAAGCTGTCCAAGGCTGTGCAGTGCGGGATCGATTCCTGGCCAGGGAGATATCCACATGGAGCGGCAGACCTCTCCTGTCTCTCCCGCTGCTCCCCTAAGCAGTGTTTTCACTTGTCTGCCTGTTCTGCTCCCCTCTCTGTCTGTGGTAAATTTTCTTACCCTCCTGCACCTCTGGCCTGTACCCCAGTTCTTGTATAAATAAATTTTAAAAAATGGGCAGAATATCTAAATAGTTGCATTTTGAAAGAGGTTATATAGATGACCAACAGGAAAAAATGTTCCTCATATTTTTAATAAAGGATATACAAATCAAAACCACAGTGTGATATCATCTCATACCTGTGAGAATGTTTTATGTCTAAAAGATTCCTAACAACAAATTTTGGCAAGGATATGAAGAGAAAAGACCCGTATGTCTTGTTATGGGAATGTAAACTGGTCTAGCCATTCTGGAAAGCTCGAGGTGGAAATAATATAAGATCCAGGGATCCCAGTTCTGGGTATTAGAAGACTACAAAACCATCAATTCAAAAATTTATGTGCTCCATAGTGTTTATTGTGTCATTATTTACAATAGCTGAGATAAGGAAGCAACCTAAGAGCCTGTAGATGGTTGGATAAAGAAGATGTGTTATGGAGTGCTATTCAGCTATAGGGGAAGATAAAATTTTGCCTTTTGCAGCAAAATAGAAGGAACTTGAAGAGATTATATGAAGTAGAAGTTAGCCAGAAAGATAAAGACAAATATCGAGTGACTCACATAATATGAGGCAACCAAGTAGATGTATTGACAAAGCAAAATAAAAGTAAACTAGTGGACACTGGTAAACAGAGATTAGGTAAAGAGAGTGGAGGTTGGGGGAAGGGAGTGTGAGGGATAGTAGTAGGTGTTTTGGTTTTGCTTTTTTTGTTTGTTATCTTCAAAAATCTAGAAACAAACAAGTACCATCCGTAGTAAGGCAAAAGGAAACAAGGGGCTGGAGAGACTTGGAGCAAGTCGGGCCTCCCCTGGTGGTGCAGGTGGTTAAGCGCTGTGCTGTGAAGCTGTCCACAGCCTCTGCAGCGCCCAGTTCGATCCTGGCCAGCCGGTGAGGGTCCCACATGGCGCAGCAGACCTTTCCTGTCTCGCCCACTGCTCCCCTCAGCAGTATATTTCATCAGTCTGCCTGTCCTGCTCCCTGCTCTGTCTCTGGTGAATCCTCTCACCCTTCCACGCATCTGGCCTGTACCCCGGTTCTTGTATAAATAAATAAATAAATCTTAAAAATAAATATATATATATATATATTTGTCTCTGATTTTTACCCCTTCCCAACAATTCCTAAACTGGAGCCTCCGCCTGCCCTTAGAAATGGACCTGACCTTTCCAAGTGGTGGCCACTAGTTGTCCTGAATTTGCAAGTCAGCTCATTTCAGATGAACCCAGTGAACATATCCATGCTTTTAATACATCATTATGAATCAAGGTCTAGATGATTCCATTAGCTTCAGAATTTCTCAGGAGAATGAACCAAGTTCACTATCTAAACACTTTTCACTTTCCTCTGGATATTTCCTACCATGACATTTTCTTGTAGCAATTTGGTTTTGTGATATCTATTGGTGGGTTGTTTGTATTGATGAACTATGAAAAATCTGTTAAGTGCTTTTTTTTTTTAAAAAGATTTATTTATTTATGCATACAAGAGCTGGGGTACAGGCCAGAGGTGTGAGGGGTGAGAGGATTCACCGGAGACAGAGTGGGGAACAGAACAGGCAGATTGACCAAAGTACACTGCTGAGGGGAGCAGCGGGCGAGACAGGAGAGGTCTGCCACGCCATGTGGGTTGCTTCCTGGCTGGCCGGGGATCAAACCCATGCTGCAGAGGCTGCGGTAAGCTTCATAGTGCGGTGCTTAACCCCTTGCGCCACCAGGGAGGCCCTGTTAAGTGCTTTTTGAAAGAGTCACTCATTTCTTCATTATACCTAATGCTAAGACTAAATCAGAGTGGCAATTTTTTTATTTTGATTTTGAGAAGCACTAGATAAGAAACAAACAAACCTATGCTATCCAGTAAACCTGGACTTCATGGTTAATGTGGTTAGGGCTTATTGTGGTTCTTGGATCTCTGTATTTTGCTTTCATCAAATTTGGGGAAATTATAGCCATTATTTCCTCACATACCCCACTCCCATTTGGAAACTTAAATTATATATGTATTAGGTCACTTTATAATGTCCCACAGCAGAATGACTTTCTGTCGTTTATTAAAGTAATCCTTCCCCCCACCCCCCGCCATTTAATTTTTGGATAATTTCTATCCAGATGTTTAAAAATCACTAATCTTTTCATTTGCTTTATTCAATTTACTGTTAATCTTGTGCAGTGTATTTTTATTTCAGATATTGTACTTTCTACCCCTAGATTTATACATGGATCTTTTTGCATTTTCTTTGTCTCCACATGCTTAAACTTTTTTCCATCTTCTTGAATGTATGGAGTACAGATAAGACAACTCGATTAATATTTCTCTGTTAATTCTATCGTATTTGTCATTTCTGACTGCTTTTTCTCATTTGGGTTATATTTTCTTTTTTAAAAATCATAATTTTTTCTATTAGCTACAAGTCATGTGTCATAGGTACTAGCTAAATATCTTTGCATTCCTTTAATTATTCTTGAGCTTTCTTCTGAGATGTTGCTTAGTGACTTGAAACAATATAAATCTTTCAAAACTTGCTTTTAAGTTTTATTAAAAAGAACCAGCCCAGTGCTTAGTGTAGAACTAATTTTCCCACTCAACCAAGGCAATAGTCTTCTGAATACTCTACTGGTAGGTATCCTGGCAGTTACAGGACTTCTCACCCTGACTGGAGGGAACACAGATTCTTTCTGCTTAGTGTGAGGCCTAGAGATTGTTTCCTCTGGTCTTTTCTGGTGGTTCTTTCCCATCGTCCATGTGCTGATCATTACTCAACTGAAAACCTTATGATCCCCTACACAGATATCTATAATTCTCCTTTAGGTCCTCTGCCAGGGAAATCTATCTGCCTTGGCCTCCTCTGACTCCCAGTTCTGTCTCCTGAACTTAGGTAGATGGCTGAGTTCCAAGTGGGTTCCCCTCTCTGCTTTGGGAC